TCAGTGAATTCAGTGAAATTCAGCAATTGGAATTTCATTGAAAAACTGAAAAATTCAGCAAAATTTCAAATTCAACAATGAAATTTCAATGAAAAAAATTCAGCAATTGAAAATTTCAATGATCCCTCGGGATGTTGTGAATTTAATGATTATATCGGTTTTGTTTTCTCTTGTAATGATTTGATAATGTGATTCCAAAATGATTGCTTAATTGTGCATCAACCGGAGTAGCACTGTTACCACATAGAACTGATAATTAGTTCAGTGATCAGTTAGCATTTCAAGGATGGATGTACTAGCATTGAGTGTATCGAGCAAGCATAGCAAAACAAAACCTCAAATCAGGTCTATCCTGCCAAGGCTTAGACACATTTTCATCGGATCGTTCGATATTATGATCTCTCGGCGAGTTGTTGATGAAATTTTAATATATGCTTGAGATTTTCCTCATTTCTGTTGTTGATTCATCTTATTCGGGTTACTGTCATCAATCTTTCTTCTAAATCTGCAACGATCTTGAGCGGTACTTTGCATTCTACACGTTAAATGGAGAAACTAGCTCCTTGAGAGGATAGAATTTAATGAAATCGCCTATAGGTCATGAAACGTATTAAAAGATTAAAAGCATAACTGACTCATTAATAGCCCAATTTTTTTAAATAGAAGCACTCAATATTACCTTGATTCTATAGCTGATCGGTATACCGTGCATAGATAATGATTCATAAATGCGCCGAGGTGTATCATAAGTTCTCTGTTTCTGGGAGAATTTTGAATAGAGCGGAATTTATGCGTATTTTGTCATCGGATTTGTGAGATATTCCATACGTCGAATTGGTAAGCGAAAAATGGGCATGGCTGATAGATAGCATTGTGTTTTACGATGTTATTTGTTTGAATTTGAACATACATGACAATTAACTACCAGTGATATGATGCATCTTATTTCCTAATTATATATCGTAAGGAGCTGTCATCCCTCTTCATGCATCAGTCTTACTTCATGAGGCAATAGCCAAATCTCTCAAGGCAATGTTCATACACCCTTCAAGGCAGCGTTGATGACGTCGAAGCAGTTTCATATATCATTTGCTCCGTTCGTAAAGAATCTCGAATATCGCTGTCATTCTTTAGATTAGACAATCAGTGACGAAATGAAATATTTTAATTATCGCCTTGCAATTTATTGAAATGAAATGTGTTTAGCTGAATGATTTCTGAACGTGTCGTTTATTGTTGTATGAGGGTGAGAATTCAGTTGTTTGTTTGAAACTTGAATATGNAATTAAATGGAAAATTGAAGAACGTTAGAAGAAGTAATCGAACACTTCAATACGACATCAACCAGTAATTCATTATTCTTATTTATTCATTTATGATCTTTTCCATCGTTCTTCTCACGAAAGCGTGCAAGTGCATCAATAAGCTTCATCAAAACAATCGTAAAACGAAATACTTTGTTATGGTTATTCTTATCTTATCACGGTATTCTGATTATACAATCGTTTTTGTTTACACAACTGCTAAATAATATTATCAACAAATTACTTCTCATTTATGGACAGTTGTTTATGCTCGGAATGTTTGTTTTTGTGGTTTAGTTCGTATGCGTTCTTATCAATAGCACTGCTTTTTATCAGCGATATAAATATAACAATGACAATAAGTCGAAACTCGCAATTGAGTTTGGATTTGCTGCAAATCGAATAATGAACAATGCCAGTAATATTATTGGGTCTTGGCCAGCAGGCCATATTTTGACTTGCATCTAATCGTTTATTCATGTGAAATTGTTAATTTTGATTTATGAATATATCCACCCATCTTTGAAATTGTTGAGGTATTGGAGAGCATTGTTGCCGTCCGTTTTAGTTTGACTTTAAGACTATAAAATTTGATTTCTTAATATCATCAAGCATGTTTGGACAATACGCCGACCTTAGATAGTAGGGTAGAAACGTTCGAAACTGGGCAAATCTTCCACGAACGACCAACTGGAATGGAGACGACATGAAGACACATAAATCAAGCAATGGCAAGTTGAAATGATATGCGAACTTGAATTGATTCACTCTCATTCGCTCAGTTCACTTTCATCACTAATGGTTTGTTCGTATCGCGTTCACAATATTTGTTTATTCGGCAGCCGTTTCTCTTTTGAGACTAGAACCGTTATTTGTTGACTTTGTGAGGTTTTATAATGCGAGGTGTTAGAGATCGATTATGAAAACGATTCGATGGTCTTGATGAGTGGAAAATCTCGTTATTATTGTTCATATTAATATTGTACTTGTTATTGGGAGGATCGCTGTGGAGAACGTGACCTTATCATTGAACATAGATCATTGAATTATTGCATTGTTAAACTTCGTTTGTAATGTGAAGTTGTTAGGATGTACTATAAATATATAATGTGCGTGATTAAGCTTCATTGCCATCTCATCTCAGTTATTCGGCATGTTGGTATTGCCAGCTGGCGNGTAGTTGATCATCATCAACGAATAAGATTCAAGCGTACGCGTTGATCAAAAGTGCATCATCCATACATTTAGACACAATATAGATGACATTTATAAGGGAATTGTAACCGAATTTGTGTTGGATGATGAGTGAGGTTTTGGTTCGATAGTTTTAGTTACAGGTTAGAACTATGGGGCTAAAATAATGTGCACGGAAACGCGAGAATTGTGGCCAGTAACGTTATAAACATTTGATAGCCTGGCAAATCCAGGTAGTTAGAACTAGCGAAATGCGATGTTGCGCAGATGAACTAGCTCTGTGAGATTCGAACTGAGACAAATTTTTGACTGCTGAACCGTTAGTGACCATCCCCGTTTGCTCGAAATCGTGAAAATGGGGGACAAATGGGTTGCATTTGCAAGAAGAGATAACTGAAGTGCCAACTTTCATTTATAGCATGCAGATTTTTAATTGTTATGCGAATTCATTGCAAATTCATTCATTTTATGTAAATTATTCACTCAAAAGTTATTTTATTTGTTCATAAACAAATTTCAATGTGCATTTCTCGTTGTTTCAGTAGAATGTACTCTTACGCCAGTGATCAACTGTTTAGCATGGTCGTTATCGTTCTCGTTATGATATCATTGCTAGAGTGATAGTTAGTTTATCAGATCACGTTCATCGTTTAGTTGCCAATGAAATGTTTTTCGAGTGTATGCTGCATGACACTTAGGCTTTCTTTCTGAATGGTGCTAACAACGAATTATAAAGTATTCTTTCGCTGAAACTTCACATAGCAACTTCCTATAAGGTATCCCTTAAGAAATGGGAAGTAAGCGATACTTTGGTGATTAGTCATTGTTGAGTGAATGGAGCGATGATTTGATTATGTTGAATGGAATTGTGGGTATTGTTATTATTGTGTTGTTATTGTTCGATAATTTGGTTTATTATTATTATTATTATCATTCTTATTGCTGTTGCGTTATGACGGTGTTTCATTTTAGTTCACCGTCAGTTCGAAAAACACACATTAGCGTTTATTATTATCGGTGTGATTCTCGTTATTGTCATTATTATTATCGTTACTGTTATTACTATTATTAACGCTATTGATTCTTATGTACTTAGGCATTTTTAGGTTTAATTTCAAAGGTGTTTTTGTAATTCGTCTTTAGCACAATGATGTGAAATTTTATTGGTATTCTTTTAATAATTATTTAAGTTTGTCGTTGTGAAGTCTTATTGATGTCCCCTTTACAAGGAATGTTTTTATTCACAAATATAGAAGTGTCTTCCATTTCAGAACGATTGTTTTTGAAATAAGCGTTTGATGAAAGTGATATTGTAATGATGTGCTATTAGAGATATATGATCATACTGTAGTAATAATAATATTATTATTACAGCATATAGTAATAATATTCAACAGTAATTCAATAATAATATTATTATTATTGAATGGTGATAGTGATGGTGTTGTAATGGTGTTCAGATATAACGTCTAAATTAAATTTCAGTGTTAAAAATGAAGGTGAGATGTGGTAAAGACGAGATGGATCAGTCAACATTCACTTCTGAAGGTTCCTCATCTTCAAGCGATAGCTCAGATGAAGGTACGAGTGATACTGAGAGTGACAGCAACGGTGCTGATGGCTCTGATGGAGGCAGAATGTTCATCGTCGAGAAGATTTTGGCATATCATAGGTTACATTCATCATTATTATGTTGCTCTGCTTATTACTATTTATTGTTATTGTTGGTTTTTGTAATGAATACTATTATGGCACTATTGTAATTTATAGCTACTTAGAGTTGGAGAGTGGAGACGGTCTTATTGGCACAGGTGGACATTTGTGTGCTAGCCGTTCGGCATTATATGAACGGTTGATATATAAATTAAAAGTTTAGTTATGGTCATTTGAAACGTCGAAAATTGATTGATGAGGGACGGCCGCAAGCAGATCACGATATGTTCTTTCTCATCAGATGGGAGGGATACGGATCAGAGGATGATTCTTGGGAGCCGTGGGAGACCGTTGAGAAATTGGACGTTTTTAAAAAGTATGTCCGAAGACATAGAAATGAATTGAGAGGTAATACTTTTTCGATCGATCGTTGAATTTGCAGTTTTGAACATTCTCATTATAAGAAATTGTTTATGTGTCTATAAGATATTGTGTTGTTGATTCAGCGTTCGTTAAACGTGCCAGAGAGACATTCGGTTCATCGTGTCCGTCAACGAAGAAAGCACAACAAACTGAAAAAGATATTCGTAGAAAACATCGACGATACTCATTCGATGTATCGCGAGAACATGGCACAGCTCGTGATCGGTTCTTTTTTCATTTATTTTCATGTGATCTCTATTCTTGTTATCAGTGCAAAGACCGTTTCTGATTAGCTCGTGTAAAATCTGCCAGGTTTAAGAGTACACATTTTTATGATTGGATAAATTATTAAGAAAGAGTAATGAATATTGTTCTTCACACATGTTTTCTTCACCAAAATGATTTGGTTTGCAGGTCTAAAAAATGTATAAATGATAGCGATAGCAGTAGTGATAACAGTGATAATCCAATGATGATTACCGGACGGCGATATACAGATGGAAATTACAAGAATCATGGGCAGAGTTCATTTGAGAAGAGACTGGCGTTGGATGGAGTACGTTCATCTCGGAAGTCATCGGTGAGTTATTATTATCGTGATTTGTTTGTTGTTATTATGATTAGCATTGATAAATTCACAAAAACATATTTTCAGCATGAAAAGAGAATTTCGAGGGAGAGTGCTGAGAGACGGCAATTGAAAAAACGAAAACTTTCGGATGAACGTGAAAAGGAGCGTCGTGAACGTAAAGACGCACTGCAGAAGATAATCGAAAAAAGGCGACGATCTGATAATATTGTTGAGGGGGACGGGAAGGGAGGCGAGAAATTGGGCGGTGATTCGAAGAGGAGACATTCGTCTGCTAGGGTTCGCTGTTTTGTTATACTCGTTTAATTTTGTTAATGTTACGATTGATTCGAACGTTCTCCAAGTAGTTATGATGGATCACTGCTGGTTTATTTTATTCTTGGATCAGTTCCGTTTTCATATGATTCATTTCTCGGAAGTGGTTATGATTGATGAAGTATTTGTTTGTTTCAGAACAATCAAGGAACGGATTCATCACTATTCCAAACGACATCTTCGTATAGCAACAATAAGGATAACACTAGTAACAATAACAAGAAAAATGTGAAGAAAGCGTGTAAACGATCAGCAACTTCTACGAATACCACAAAACAGTTGAGAATAGTCGTCTCATCATCAGATGAAGAGATGGATTATTATTACAACGATACTGGTAATGCAACGATGAATAATGCAAACGCGCACAAAGCGAAACATTCCTCTCCGATGCTCACACCCACATCAGAACGTGAAGAAGCACCTCCGTCAGGCAGTAATTCTCCGAACAGTTGTGATAAAACTAATGATTGCAATAATCAAGATAGTAATACTCGTAAACTATCAATCAAAAAAGGATCGTTAACTGATAAGTTGCAAAGTGATGAGGACAGTGAAATGGTGTTGGATTTGGATCTTACATCAGTTCACAATGATCAACAACAACAGGTAATATACGTGTATGGTTCAGAATTGTCATCGGTATTTATTTGTTATTACTGCTTGATGAATCCGTATTGAGGAGAACCGTTAAAACATTCAATTTTGCAGGTGATAAAAAGTGTTGACAATGATAACAATAATAGTAATAATAAGGAAGAATCGAAGTCATGTTGCTCTCCATTAACATCGTTATATCGTCGGAGATTTAATGCAGTCGAAGGAGAGAATGAAGAGTGCGATGATAGCAATGTTAATAATAATAATACTAACCACAAAAATAATTATAATAATATTAATATAAGAGAGGATAATAATTCCAAATGCATCAACTCCATCTTAAAAGAGCGTTCACTTATGGGGAATGATACTTCATCGACGAGCAATTCTGACATCAAATCGGATTTTAGTAAAATTAAGAGTAAAACCGAAAAATCTTGTGATAATCCTGATGGATCAAAGGTTATATTTATTGTATTTTTATCCACCTGTATTGCGCTTATTATTATCATCATTACACTGTTTATAATGTTACAGATATTTGAAATTTTTGATGATAAGTTTTAGAGTGACGAAGTGACGATTCGTAAATGGAATTTGAGAGAAGCGTTAAGAAATGGGGATATTGATAAATTTATTGTTGAGTGGAATTTATTAGAGAAGAATATTTTGAGTGGTGATTCATCGAGAGATGTGTGCGATTGGATTTTGAGTGTTTGTTAATTGATTTATTATTATTGTATTAATTTTTTGCATTTAATGCGTTCATTGCATAATGACAATTTTCATATGAATAAATCTGAAATGAATAATTTCAGGATGTGTGTATGCGAGATGCAAATGCTGTGTCACCATTGAGTGATCTTCTTCGACGAGATGTTTGTTCTGCTGATCATTGTATTTGCAGGTTACTTGCTTCTTTTTTATTATTCCCATTGTTTGTAATAAGCGAAATTATATTTTTTTACTTAAAGAATTTCATCGTTTTATATTGAGTGAATGTATAAAAGTTGTGTTTTCAAAAACTTGATTATTAAATTCTATCGGATGTTTTGGAATTAATTTCATATATAATGTCAAATTAAATACGATGAAACAATGAGGGATAAACGATTCAGATTGTTATCGCAAGTTCTATCAAAGGTATCGCCAAATCTGCGTGAGCGATTGTTTGAGGAGATACGCGATCGGAATGGTAACATTACTCTAGCGAATGCCATTAATATCAGTGACAATAGCGGTGATAACGATAAGGAGAAGGATACCTTTAAACTTCCTTGTGTTCTCGATGTTTTACTTAATTTTGGTTAGTTTTTATTCGATTCATTTTCGTGTTTTCATTCGTTCGCAGTATTAGATGTATGTTGCAAGTGATGAGTTTGATTTGATGTGGGTTACGTGGAATAAGTTTATTGAAGTGATTGTGTTAAGTGTGGATTTGAGCGCGTTTAGAGTGGAATGTTGGATATACAACTGGAAAATTATTTTCAGGTGCGAACATTAATTCAGGTCGAGTTAGTGCTTTGCAGAAATGTGTGGAAGGAGGGTTTCGGGAACTGGTTTGTTCGCATTTTGTTTGGCGTGTTCAATTCAGTAGATTGTTGATTAGACTTATCTGTTATTTACGTTTTGAGGTATTTGAGGAAATATTTTACAGATAGTTTATTTGTTACGTAAAGGCGTTGACGCGACTCGTTTGAAGCATTTCGAGAACACGGATTTTTGTTTGATGAAACGAGAGCGATTCGTCATGCAACATACCAATCCAGTTCGTCTTTTATTGGTCGCTTTTTTTTCTTGCGAATTTTGAGTCAGTTTTTCATTTTTCTTTGAATTTTTATTTTCATATTACATCGGAATATTTGCATTTGTGTGTTTTTCTCTCTTTTGCCGTATTTCCCGGAATTTGAAAGATAAGGTATTTGAGGAAATATTTGAGCTGGAAGAATGCAGCTGGAATTATTTCGTGATAAAATTATGTGAAAGTAATGATTGAACGAATTTAGTTATTATGGCATCTGATTCGGTTTATCGATCGTTTGAATGAAACATTCACTGAGTGGACATCGTCTTTATTGAAGAAGGAGCTACCGAATGATCTTGTCGCGTCACCAATCTCTTCTGTGCATCCTTTTCGCATTACACAGCTTGACAAGCGGGTTTGCTCGATTTCGATTCGTTATTTATTGTTTACGATTTGTTATTATCTATTGTTTTTATAATTTATTTACAAAAATTTTCACATTAAGGTATTCATCAAAGTGGCAACAGATGCATCACATTCGCAGCATAATACAACTGACTGCTTACCGATTCATCGTTTAACGGTCGTTTTTTAAATTTTTTTTGTTTTGTTGTTCGTTGATTATTTGGAAACGTCTTTCAGATGCTTGTGATACATTCATTTCGATTCTCATCTGCAAGTGATATCACTTCGATATATCCTGAAAAGCGTAACATTATTATCACTTTTCCAGACATCATCCGGTAATCGTGTTTATTATTCTTATATTATTGTTACTGTCGATTTTTTTAAAGCATCATCTATTATTCATCTGGTAACAATAGTGAAAATAATAATAGTAACGGCAGTGCTGATAGTAATAATAACATGTTTGTAATATTTGAGGGTTCGTTTGGGTGCGACGTGTGAAGAAGTGGATTTATCGATAGTGACACGCAGCTCGCAAATGCTCGTTTATCAATTCCCGAAATGTTTCAACCTGGAATCGGGTTTGCTATTAGTCGTTATTTTCATTAGAGCGTTGTGTTTGTGACTGTTGTGTGAATAAATCCATTGAAGGGACACGTGTGCACGTCAATTTGTCGTATTCAATGGCAGATGAGAGCAAATTCGATCGGGACGCATTATTGGCTCTGCGCTTGTGGACTGCGCAGCCCAATTGATTTGTTATTATTATTATTATTGTTATTATTTTTACCATCGTTAACAATATTGCAAAGTCATCAGTGATTCGTTATTCGATATCACGAGTTGGATAATTAGGTGAAAAGATAATCACTGAATTTTGATGTGTATGCAGTAATTGAATTTTTGAAATGTATTTTATTTGCAGAGTAGTTTGATGGTTTGATTTTGTGAATTAATTTTTTTATGAGATTTTTATTATTTTATATTAATTTATCTGTTGTACTTGTTTCGTTCTGAACGGTTATCATTTGTATTGTGATTGTAATCATTCCTGGTTTTGTTTTGATTTCGTGTGTAATTTTTGATATGGGTGGTTAGTTTGCATTGTTGAACAGAAAGGAAGAAGAATGAAAATTGAAATGGACATTTTTAGGATAGTTTCCTTTTTGCCCACATCAAGGACCATTTCGCTTTGCAAATGACTGCGATCATCGTTCGGTTTCTATGGAAATGGTGTGTGTCTGTACGTGAAGTTTTGTCCAATGGTTAACTTCACATTGACATATGAGAGCATCGCTTTTTGGCGTACATACGAAACAATGAAATAGTTAATTAATTTCATATTTCATCTCTGATGCTGGGAATTCATCAATCTGCTTTAATGTAGACGTCAAATGTACATGTGTTTATTGCTTGATAGAGGCGTACGTTTTCAATGAATTGATTCTAATCTATGATTGTTTGCGAATTATAGCAATTTTTATTTTCACTTTTCATTTCTATATTTTGACAGTTTTTATGTGATCATTTTCATTACACTTATGCTGTGGAATAGTACGTGTCTGTTGATGCTCTTTAGCTTATTTCAAGCTTTATCGATAAGCGTGAATCCCATTTTCATCGAGTCTATTTCTCATTACTTGTCAACATTATTATTATCATTGTATTTGCTAATTATTTGTGAATAACAATGTAAAAGTTCAGCTAACATTTGTGATAATTACGTGCGTGTGTGTGTGTCTGAAGCAATCTTTTGCTTTCTATTATCTTTTCTGTGACGAACGCATAATGGTGAATAATGATTGTAATCAAGTGTTAAATCATATTGATTTGACTTGTAATGTTAACCATCGATAATTTATGATAATAATTATTTGTCATTGGTGTTTCATATATCGTATGTATTGCTCATATACTAATTTATTCTTATGGTCACCGTTGTGATACTGATCAAGATAGCGATATGTCAAATGTATGTTTTTGCTTTCTCTTTTATTCTTTCATTTAGTTAAGGTTTTCGCTGAAACTTAGGAAGGGCATTCAAAGCTCTTCTTAAGTTTCAACTGAATTCTTCTCGCTTGTCGCATGGTTCATGCTTATTGCTGCTTTAAAGTGTTGATTTGATTAATTAATGAATTAATTGATCGATTAATCAGTTTTTGATTAATTAATTCATTAATCTCATCAAACTTCAACTGTCATAACGCCAACCACCATAACATGCTCTTAAAGTTCTGTTTTGTTCTTCGCCTTTCTGAATAACGATTAGTCGATCACTTCGTTGTATAATAATTACCGTGTTTTGAATTCATTCAATGAATAATTTGTTTGATCATTATATTTATTTCTTCACATATTCATCCTTCTATTCATGCTTGATCCAGTCTCTTCGCTTTATCCTTTATCGTCATTCTATTATTTTCATCGTCAGCATTATTATAATTCTCAGTATTATTGCAACTGGTAATGACCAGTATTATTCTTATCATTTTGCCATAGTTGTCATGATCGTCGTGCAGCTATCATCAAGGCAGCTCTGATATGTTATCAGTGGGATCGTTTAATCGGTGTTAAATATATTCGTTTAGGTATTTTGGTTATCAATTATTACTTTATCATTATGATAATGTATGGGTATTATCTTTTATTTTCGTTTGAATAAACATGTTTTCTTATGTAATGCTTTAATATATTCGAATATCACCAACAACAATATCTCTAAGCATATCACTGATAATAATGACAACAGTAACATTCATAAGAGCATTACTAGTAACGATCATGACAACAATAACATCGATAAACGTGTCAACTTAATCGCTATCATTAGTTACTGCTGTGGTCATCGTTTTCTGTGTGGTTGTTCATTTCCTCTTGTGCATATGGGATGCAATGAAATTTTTATTCGAGCACTGAACAAACAAGTGATTCATCATAATGANTTTATGCCGGATATTCATTGAATGCTCCTTCATATTTCAATGCGATCGACTCATGTTCATTTGTCGGCTTCAACAAGAGAATTAATCGCTTTTACAGAATCGCTTCAAATTTGAATTTTTTTTTCAATTACTGATCGTGAATAAAGAATGTCGTCTCTGAATAAGTTCATCGTAAATCAATATAATAGTGTTGTGTTTATTTATGTGTGTTAATAGGTTGTTGCAAATGAAATGTTTGTCATGATCATGAATAAAACGCAATCCATTCGATATATCATAATTGATCATCAATAAAACTCAATGAACTGATAAAAGATTTATGAAAGAATTTCATTTATTCAAATACGGTGTTCATTTCAGAAGTATGATCTTCTCTGAATTATTCATTCCATGTTTCATTTATTTTATTCATCCAACACATTCACGACATTTAAATGGTAACCAGTCGCATATTATGTAAGTCTTTTTTTAGCTCATTTGATCAATAGAGCAATTGTGAAACGGATAGCGATAAGTAATAAATGTAAACCGGATTTGACCTTTTATATTATTCATCGATTCAATGAATTAAATGATGACATTGCAAAAAAATGCATTTATAACAGATTTCGTAGAAAACATTAATCGAGAATGTTCACTGATTAATGATCGTGGATTATTTTCAATAGTTTCTTGATTGTACATTTTTTCATCGTTATATCGGAGTGCCCTTTAAAGAGGCCATTCCGAGACCTTTTCCCCGGGGATCAATGACAATTCCATGCAATAAAGAGCACCCTCTGCACTTAAATGATCATCAAATGAATTGCCGTAATTAGCTCCTCATAAAACGTAAAATTTCTGCACAAATGCAATCAGCTTAGTGAAAAGAAACGAAGAAAGATTGTATCGATAGTTGTGATGTTGTTGACGATGCAGAAAAGTGAGTTGCAAACTTAAAGTTGCGATTTTCACAATTACTTAATGAAAATAAAATTCAGATGCTTGCATGGTGTTGTGCGAGAGGGCGTTTGTGATTGTGAGTGGAATTATATCGGAGCGTTTTGTGAACGGAAAAAATTTTGTGAAGGATTTGAGCGATATCAAAATGGAACGTTAGTTATTATTTGCTTTGATTCAATCAATTTTTGTTCTTTAAATTATTTGTTTTTATCATAAATACATCGTCGTCATTTTAAAATAAAATTGTCTGTCGTTGATTCATTTGTTTGTTGCACTGAAAATTATAATTTGTAAGAGTTCTCGATACAGATGCGTGAAGTGTGAGCAAGGATGGCGTGGTGCGAATTGCGACGAGATTATTTGCGAACGAGGCCAAATCT